GCCCTTTGGCTCAGCTCCTTCTTTACCACGACAGACCGATACAAAGTCCGCATCACAGCAGACGCTGCACCGATCCGCCTGTTGATCTCTCGCTCCCTCCTACCCTCACTCGTGACCAAGACCCCAAGATACTTAAACTCCTCTACTTGGGGCAAGATCTCCTCCCCGACCCGGAGAGGGCACTCCACCCTTTTCCGGCTGAGGACCATTGTTTCAGATTTGGAGGTGCTGATTTTCATCCCAACCGCTTCACACTCGGCTGCGAAACGCTCCAGAGAGAGTTCGAGAGCCCTACTTGAAGGAGCCAACAGTACCACATCATCTGCAAAAAGCAGAGATGCAATACTGAGGCCACCAAAACGGACCCCCTCAACACCTCGGCTGTGCCTAGAAATTCTGTCCATAAAGGTTATGAGCAGAATCGGTGACAAAGCGCAGCCTTGGCGGAGTCCAGCCCTCAGTGGAAACGATTCGACTTACTGCCGGCAATGCGAACCAAACTCTGACATCAGTGGTATAGGGACCGAACAGCCCGTATCGTGGATATTAGATGTTTTAAAATGGCTTTTTTTTTTTTTTTTTGCTGAATGATTTTTGTTTGTTTATTTTATTACACATGAACCCATTACAACACAAGACACAGGTAACGAATGATATCCAGAAAACACTTCCAAATTGGGCCGATTTTTCTCTCTGCTGGAAAGTATGACAAATTAACATTTTTTTTAAATTTAGTTACAAGAATTTTATTCTGCCAAATTTCGGAATCGGCTTTGACCCACTGCTCAAACAAAATACAATAAAAATGCATATAACAACCAAATGTGACGTTTCCCTCTGTGTGTTAAAAGCAAAGCTGTGCCGTTGTTTTAGATACATATACTTGTTTTTGTTTTATGTTAGGTACGGCAGCAATCTTCGATTGGGTGGGAATAAATAGCTTGAAACATCTTCTGAAGACTTGTCCTCAAATTACAGTATATCTGGCAAACTGCTGCTTTTTGTGAAGTGAACTGAGTCACTGCCACAATACTGCGCTGGTATGCACCCCCCCCTCAAATGGCTCGTATTTCAAAATTGATCGTAGCTTTGTATTGGTCCTGCAGTAGAGAGGGACAGAATAAGCAGTGGCTCCTTTGGATGACACAGGCCCACCCCCTCAAAGGCTCTGAAATAATTCTTGATCCTCAGGAATTTTGACAACATTATGGTGTATAAATATTATTTTAAAAATGCATGACTCAGAAAACGTTGGGGCGTATAACCTTTACAGGTGACCTTAATGTGACCTTTTAACTTTTGAATGCAACCGTTCGTTTCAACACTTTTTGCACAATCTGCTGTTCTTTACAATGGAGCTGAACAGCAAAATTCACAACAGGTGTTGGATCCACAAATGGACCAATGAGAGGTCGAATTAAGTTTGCCTGTCAAGGTTCTGGTGAATTTCAGGTTCATCCTGAAACACCAATACTCAACTCAACTGTATTTATAGAGCACTTTCAAACAGCCATCGCTGCATACAAAGTGCTGTACATGGAGCAATTCAACATATACAACAAACAGTAAAGCAAATCGGTAATAAAGATGGTAGAAAGCACCGAACAGCAAAACCAAGAACAAATCTAAGTCATGCTGAGTCAAATGCCAAAGAATACAAGTGAGTTTTGAGGCGGGTTTTGAAGATGGGCAGCGAGGAGGCTTGCCGAATGTTCAGTTTCAGCAATACCCTTTATGTTTTGTGAGTAAGATAAAACCTTCATTTATCTCACAATGGAGAAATTCCCAAGTAGTAGCATATGTCTTTGGTTCTTCCAGCTATTGTTTCCTGTGAAGCGCTGTCCTTGAGTCAATCCTTTTATGAGCATTCCAAGTGTATTTCCTTTATCAGAAATGAAGCCATTCATTGAGCAAGGGCGTGAGAATTTGCCCTCACATTCATGCAATAAAATACTTTTTCTGGCACGCTTGACTGAAATATGGCGTGTCAAGGTAAACACTCACCATGGTTGTCTCTTGGATGGAGCCGAAACTGTTGATGAAAATGTTCACCCGATCTTCCACGGGTATTCCTGCGTTTGAAACAAAAGATGGCATCAGTAAGGTCATGTGTTTTGCTTTGAGTTATGTTCAAGTAGCTTCAAATGCTGATCAAAGCAAGGGTATTCATAAGCTTTGGTCAAAGGAATGCAATTTTTTGAAAGATGATGACACGCTGCTAATGGATGACTTTGGGGGTCACTGGAATGGAGAGCAGATGTTTCGCTCGGGGAGGCGGTCGATTAGGCAGGCGGAAGCATGGGCCCACCGACGGCTCTTGCCAAGGACACCGAGGACGGAGGGGAACCGAGGATCGACCCAAAGACAACTGTTGAGGACATTAATCAAACGCTTGCTAGTTTTTCTAGGACGTTCGTGGCTTGAGGCTGACAATTTATCGTACCGCACGCTGTGAAAAGCGTGCAAACTGATGCTTGTGCTAAGCCTTTACATGTCTTTTGACAGACTATTTTAAAAATTAAGGAGCTTCTTCATCTAAAAATAGTCCGATGATTGCTTTAAGATGGTGTCAACAGTCCAGCCAGTGTATCGGTGACAAGGAACATCTGATTCGTCATACGTCAGACAGCAAGATTTATACGACCTTGCAAAAACATTGGATAATTTTGCACAGGACAAGTGTGAGGGAGGAAGAGGTGACAAGGAACATGGAAATAAACCCATCAGTTGTATCACAAATACAATACATCTTCATTTATATAGTGCTTTGACAACAGCTGCAACTGTAACAAAGCGCTTTACAGAACAGTTAACCTAAAAGAACAAAATAGAACACATAACATAAATCATGGACAGTCATACAATCGTAACAACTATTCCTGCACACGCCTTGTTGTTTGAAGCAGTTATAGATGAAAGAGGAGAAAATCAAAGTCTCTTTTCACCAGTGGATCAGAGACGTCATGCTCAAAATGTGCATAACATCCCACATGTCGGCTGCAAGCGAAATTTGAAAGTAAACACAAAGCTGTAGTGTCCATTCGATGATAAAAGAAATGTATTCACTTCTGTCAATTTTAAATCAGCTTCAATTCAAAGCGGTGACTCTCAGTTCCAAATACGCATATATGCTCCTCTCTCCTCATGCTCGGCCCCACCAGCCATCCATCCAGCCGCACGATCGCAGACTGTCCCCCCATCAACTCTGACATCTCCGGTGAACAAAATGGCACTGTGAAAAATGCCCATTACAGGTGCTGTCAATCGGCGACCGTCAAATAGTGCCGACATTCCCCCCATCACAATCAGTGCTGGTACAGGCGTGCTGCAGAGAAGGTGCAACCATCAAGCACAAATTCTACGTCTTTGACGAATGTTGTGGCCAAAACGGTGAAAACAGTCCCCAACGGGTCCACATGAAGAACAACAGACACCATATGGCAAAACAAAACACAAAAACAACAAAAAAGCAGAGCTCTTGAAGCGCTCTTGAAGACTGCTGCCAATTAAGGCACCATCTTGAAATTGTTGAAGTACAACTAAACTGCCATGGGATATTAACCTGACGAACTTGGGAACAACATTTTTAATCAGAAAATTATTCATTCATTCATTCATCTTCCGAGCCGCTTGATCCTCACTCGGGTTGCGGGGGGCGCTGGAGCCTATCCCAGCTGTCTTCGGGCAGTAGGCGGGGGACACCCTGAATCGGTTGCCAGCCAATCGCAGGGCACACAGAGACGAACAACCATCCACGCTCACATTCACACCTAGGGGCAACTTAAAGAGTGTTCAATCAGCCTACCATGCATGTTTTTGGAATGTGGGAGGAAACCGGAGTACCCGGAGAAAACCCACGCAGGCCCGGGGAGAACATGCAAACTCCACACAGGGAGGCCGGAGCTGGAATTGAACCCGGTACCTCTGCACTGTGAAGTCGACGTGCTAACCACTGGACTACCGGGCCGCCATCAGAAAATTAACCCTGGAAAAAACAGGACTTGGAATCCGCACTCCAGCCTACATCATGAGCCACGCATCTGCCCTGGGTAGAGGACCCGCACAACAATCTCGTCTCATCGGGCACATAAAGGCAGTTTCCCTTTATGTCGTGGGGTGCTGTCATTATCCTATTGTCTTTCTCCGGCAGGTGGCAATAGAGGGCGGTCCCTCCATCTTGCACACCTGCTGCCAATGTAATCAGATGACTATTTAAGGACTCCCATGTTGTCATGTCACTGTCGGATAATTCACCTTGCTCACGACTGTTTCCAAGTGTTGAATTCGTCTAGACCTTCCATGTTCTTGCTCTTCGTTTTTGCTCCCGCCAGGTTTTCTGAACTTACCTTTGCAGCAGAGGTGATTGCTCTAAGACTGCAAGGGAAGCTCAGCTTCCCCTAAAATGTCAAAAAATAAGTGATCAAATATGTGTGTGTACATAAAATTGTGTGTACGTCATGACTAAATATGCGCTACAACGCGCTCAATTTTTGTTCCGAATCAGCTTCTTATTACTGGTTACGATGCGACTCTCTTCTCATTCATTCCTGCAGCTTCACCGTGCTTTAAACTGTGTGGACGTTGAGCGTCTACATCGTGGACGCTGGGCGTCTTGAAATTTCTATGGACAGTGGGAGTTTATCGGCTGGCCCGGACGCTCAGCTTTTCTGCATGATGATTGAATGATCTGTCTGAGGCTGAATCTCTTTTTGATTGACAGCGATATGAGCCAATCACCGATCTTTTGGTGTAGGCATCCGTGGGAGCATTTTTCAATTCTCATTCTGTTCTGAGTTGAACTGGAGACTTCTTCTAATCATCTAAGCAACACGCTCTTTGTTGAGAGCGACTAGTGATGAATTAATCTTTTATTTCTGGTGGGTTTTATTGTAGTTGCTTGTGTTCGCAGACTGACTTATATCACCACAGTTAAGACCCTGGAAAAGACGCCTTGCTGGTATGACAAGGTCACAGATCATTTTCTTGAAAAGGAACGGAGAGTAGAATTCACGTCTAAATAAACGGACACATTTTATGATGTAGGCCGAAATTGAGCTTCCCCTCCTTGACAGACAAGCATCCGCCACCGCTTTATCTGTAGTTTTTCATTGTCGTTAGAGTCACGGCTTTTGTATTATACATGTTTGGGTTTCTTCATGTCCATTTATTGACAAGCGATTTCCGTTTGTTTTTATCCTTGCCTTTTTTGCAAGCGTTTTTGATTGTCTTGTTTTCCTAGCATTGTACCAGCATTCTTTGTTGAACTTTGCCAGTCTTTTGACCTTATAGAGGTTGCCGATACAAGCCACCGATACTGGCAAAACATTCGGACATTGAGTTTTTCTGCGTCAGAAAGAAAGTTCACAATTTTTTTGGTTATTGTGTTAAATACAATTTAATACATTTAAAGCACAAGAGGGGGCAGCACGGTGATGGAATGGTTAGTACGTCCACCTCACAGTGCAGAGGTTTGGGGTTCAATTCCAGGCTAAGGCCTTCCTATGTGGAGTTTGCATGTTCCATCTGTGTCTGTGTGGGTTTTCTCTGGGTATTCCGGTATCCTAACACATTCCAAAAACATGCATGGTAGGTTAATGGAACACTCTAAATTGTCTCTCGGTGTTATTGGGAGAGTGAATGGTTGTGTGGCTATGTGTGCCCTGCAATTGGCTGGCACCTGCGATTGGCTGGCTGCCCAAAGTCAGCTGGGATAGGCTCCAACGCGCCTGCGACCCTCGTGAGGAGAAGTGGCCTGGATAATGGATGGATGGATGAAAAGTACTTGAGGTATCGGTGCTCAGTATCGGTGAGTACTCAAAGAGTTTAGATTAGATTAGATATCCTTTATTTGTCCCACACTGGGGAAATTTACAGCCTTCAGCAGCAAGATTGTGGGTAGAAAGAAGAGAAAAGAAAACACAGTTCAATTAAGTGCAATATAAATACAACAGGCGCAGGCGGAGCAGGCATTGACGAAGTCCACGATATCCCTCCGAAGCCCCGGCCACCAAAACCGCTGGGAGATGACATGCAGAGTCCGGTTCACCCCCGGGTGGCAAGCCACCTTAGACGTGTGCCCCCACTGTAACACTTCTGAACGCAGCGGCGGGGGCACAAACAGCTTTCCCGAGGGACATTCCGCCGGAACTTGGATCCCGTCTTGAGCGTCCTGGATCCTCCGCTCTATCTCCCACCTCAGTGCCCCCAGGATGCACTGGGCCGGGAGGATTGTCCCAGGTTCGCCATCCCGTTCCGTGAGATCGTGGATCCGGGAGAGAGCATCCGGCTTGGTGTTCTTTGACCCTGGACAATAGGTGAGTGTGAAATTATACCGGGTTAACAGAAGGGCCCACCGGGCCTGACGTGAGTTCAGCCTCTTGGCTGTGCGTATATAGGCCAGGTTCTTGTGGTCGGTGTATACAGTAAAGGGTTCTTTGGTCCCTTCGAGCCAATGTCTCCACTCCTGCAGAGCAGCCACCACAGCCAACAGCTCCCGGTTACCCACGTCATAATTCGCCTCGGCGGGGCTGAGGCGACGAGAAAAGAAGGCGCAGGGGTGCAGTTTCTGGTCGACTGGGGAACGCTGGGATAGAACCGCCCCCACTCCTGAATCCGAGGCGTCCACCTCTACGATAAATGGACAATCAGGGTTAGGATGGTGCAGTACCGGTGGGTTTGTGAAAGCTGTTTTCAATGCCGTAAACGCCGAGTCGGCGTCCGGGTCCCATCTAAACGGGATCTTGATGGATGTCAACCGGGTCAACGGCAGGGCCTTCTGACTGTAATTGCGAATGAAACGCCTGTAAAAATTAGCAAACCCCAAAAAACGCTGCAGCTCTTTTCGAGTGGTGGGTGTAGGCCAGTCTACCACCGCCTTAATCTTGACGGGGTCGGCTCTCAGCTGACCCCTCTCGATGACAAAGCCCAAGAACGAGATCGTTTTGGCATGAAATTCGCATTTCTCGGCTTTGACAAATAGTCTGTTCTCCAATAGCCGTTGTAAAACAAGTCGTACATGCTGTACGTGTTCCTGTTCAGACCGTGAAAAGATTAAGATGTCGTCGAGATAAACGAAACAAAACACATTTAATAGGTCCCTCAGCACGTCATTAATGAGGTTTTGAAACACCGCGGGTGCATTTGTTAACCCGAAAGGCATCACCAAATATTCGAAATGTCCTAATGGCGTCTTAAAGGCCGTCTTCCACTCATCCCCTTCCCGAATACGAACCAAATGATACGCGCTGCGTAAATCCAACTTGGAAAAAATGGTGGCTGACTGAAGGGGAGCAAATGCTGAATCTAACAGTGGAAGTGGGTATTTGTTTTTGATGGTTATTTCATTGAGCCCCCGATAGTCCACACACGGCCGCAACGACTTGTCCTTCTTTTCGATAAAAAAAAACCCAGCCCCCAACGGTGATCGTGATGGTCGGATAAGACCTGCAGCGAGCGAGCTGTTAATGTAGTCCCTCAGTGCCTCTTGTTCAGGATGAGAAACCTGATACAGCCGGGAGCTCGGCAGCGGGGCACTCGCTTGCAGGTCTATGGCACAGTCGTAAGGACGATGCGGTGGCAATGATTGGGCGCGGTCCTTACTAAAAACCTGTTGCAGATCATGGTAGCAACCAGGTACTCCATCGAGGTTAATTTCTTCAAGGGGCTCTTTACGAGATCGCACGTGCCCCCCAACGGCGGACCGCAAACAATGCTCGTAACAGAACGGGCTCCATATCTCTATCGCAGGGCGATCCCATGAAATAATTGGGTTGTGAGTTTTCAGCCATGGTAACCCGAGAATAACGGGGACAGCTCGCGACTGCATTAAATAAAATCTTCTA